TTTTCTGACACGTGTGTAGGTTTGGCTGCCACTTGAGTACGTTGTCTTCATTATGAAGGTTGTTGATTTCTATTCAAGTTTAATCTTTCTGAAATCGTTGGGCAGCTCTGTTGAACCGCTTCCAGGTGTCCAGCGTAGTTAGTAGGGATGAGAGAGATGTTTGCTCTGAAGCAGGTTGAACCAGTACCCATGTGCCTGTAGCACGGAATCTCTAATCACTGTAGCTTCCACGCCCAAACGAGCATATTGGCATGAAAAAATACCAAGTTGCCTGCTTAGCGGTTCTTTCATATTGCGAATTCCGTTTATCTGCTTTTTATGCAACTGATGCAATTCTGTTTTCTGTTTGGTGAGGAGATTCTCGACAATACATTTTAAAACATTTGAAATTCTATGAGAAATGGGTGATAATCATGTTTTGTTAATCAAAGAAGGAGAAACAAGAATAGAAAAGAATTATGAAGATTGCTACGAAGAGTTGAGAAGGAAGGGATTAACTGAGCGGGCTGGATTCGATGTCGTGACGTATAGGGGCGAAGAAGACCGTTCTCGCAGTGCTCGTCTCGCAGAGCAGCGCTCTCATCAGCGCGAGAGTTCTTGTCAGCTGCTGCGTTGGCCAGCCTTCCATGCATGTCACTCACCCCTCACCCAGCCCGAACCACCCGTTCCTGGGCACTGCGACTTCAGCTGCAACTCGTTCAATCAAACCAGCCACAAGTACCGCTTCAACGCCGGCGACGACGATTATGTCCGACGATGACGATTTTCAAGCGAATGCACTATCGCGATTATGCAGACATTCCGTTAATAACTCAGAGTTGTTATGTTGAATGCATGAATCATATTTCCATTAACTATTCCAATTTACCATTTCTTTAATTGATCATCTCAAATGTTTGGATAGGAATGGCTTAAAAAATTCAAATTTCGATCACAAGCCAGTGTTCAGCTTTGTGGATTAGTCAAAAACGGTTGCTTCGGAAACATAGCGGAAGCAGTAGGGTACATTGAAATAGATGATGGCGAATCTCTTTGAAGCATCTCGGGTGCAAGAATAATGCTTATCGTAATGTCTCAATTCCAGTGAATAGGCTTTAGGTTTCTATGAGAAGGAAACACCTTGCGCCTTGCTTACCTCTTTGATTCTCACGGTCCTTTCAAGCTTATTCTACGCTCCTGGGCGACCCAGACCATCTCAGCTATATACATATAATGGAAGCTACCGTTTTTGGTTTTGCCATAGAGTACACTGTGATCCCAGCAATTACTAAGAAATCATTTTCACAAAGGTGAGGGAGGGAATTCGGAGTTCCGGTCTGCATTGACAGTAGAAAGTTACGAGCGCATATGAGCCATACACGTTGTGTGTCATAACTTGACAATGGCTACGTAGATTCCGTTAATGACTCTGTTCCAGTGGATGTCAAACGCAAAGCGCTGAAGTCGTCTTCTCGAGCTCTAATTTCTATTTGATACATGAAGCTAGAAACCATTCACTTCTTTTCGGGCTCATCAAGATTTGCTTTCTTTTTTTCGTGATATTTTGCTTGTCGAGATAATTTTTGCCCTTGGACTTCATGATAGAAGTGCTAGCGAGTTCTAGCGGTGTCGTTATGACTATTGCCTACCTTTGTCGGCTGTAGGTGGGTTTTACACATTGGGAGCAGGTTTCTTCAGGGTAAAAGCAATTCCCGGAAGCACCTCATCAAGGCTGGGTCACAAACTGTTATATGGATATTAAGAAGGGAAAGAAGAGATTTGATCGCTCGAACGAGGAAAACATGAGACCCCACGAACCTTTGCTAGTATAAAATACCGTGGATATTCAATGAAACTTGCTGTTTTCCATGTTACGACATTATTTTAAGCCCTATAAAATTCTAGTGTTGCTCCAGTTTGTTGTAAAAGCTCCGTGTTTTGTCGGATTTTCAGTGGAATTAAAGTTGATGAATAGAAGTGGAAATGAAGATTCTCAATAATAGTAGCAGTAAAACTAGGGGTGCAATTTTGCTTTTCACAGATGTCGTGAAGCGATAAAATTCTCATCACCAGAGAAAACATGGGGAGTGGCGATTAGTTGTAACATGCCATTTTATGGCAGAAAGGCCGCCAGCGATCTCAACGAAATTTTCGATTGCTTTCCACCCATAAAAACAGACAACGGAAATGCTGCCAATTCCAGTTCTGGTGGAGACAAACGGCTGGTTGGAGAGCCGTCGCAAATCCCTCGAGCTTCTTCCGATCTTGGGCTATCAGTGTTGTTTTAGATTCGGTGAACCTCATTGTGAACAAACGCTGCTCAGATTTTACCCGTTACCTCATCTGTTCAGTCTTGGTTAACACCAACATTTTCGTATGGAAAATTTTCACTCTACGATAGATAAAAGGCATAAAACCAAATCTTCGTGGTCTCGAATTATTTGAATGAAGAGTAGAGCTCTGAACGAGTTGCTGCATCACCTTTGTTTACCACAAAAGGACAACAACGCCAACCACTCGCAAAATAATAATTAAAGCTCCGAAATCAAAATCCTAGCTTAATGTCGGTCCTAAGCCTAATTTTGAGGAAAAAAAGTGACAGGAATTGAGCTCAGGCTTCCGATACAGATGAAAACAATCTAAGATCCTCTGTGTTCGCAAGTAAATACTTAATATAGAGATTTCCAGAGGGAAAAAAGCTTTTTTCGCGCTTTTGTTGAGAGTCCAGAAAAATTTTGCTATTACGGCTTATTCTGCTGTTTTTTCTTGTATCTTTGGTTTTTCGGAATTTTATCAAGGATACAAAACATTTTTTTTATGAGTGTTGAATTTGTAGTGCATTAGAATAGGGTGCTATTAGTGCACTTATGGCTGGTGCTTTTGTTCACGCACGTACTGCAATCAACCCTCATTCCCCTTTGGATTCTGCGAATGAGCGGCAAACTTATTTGCAAGGGCGAATGGACTGCGTTCTTCAACGGTTGGCGTCGCGACAGTATTGGTCAACTCCACGCTCACTACTTCATATGGTAGCGCGTCTCAGTGAGGTTGTTCAACGGCGTAGACCTTGTCGCCATATAAATAAATGTAATGAAATAATTCTTCTTCGGATCTCGACCTTGCTTACTGGATGGAAGAAGGTGATAACTGAACAATCTCGCTTCCCAAATTCCACTATCATTGGACACTCAGTGCTTTTTTGTCGCAAATTTTCATTTCACTTTCACCGTTACGAAACGAATTTGAAAATTCCATTCGCTCTGACTATGTTGAGAATCTTAGAAATATTATACTTTGTGAATACAACTACAAAGATGCCGAGATATGAAAAAAAAACGCGGAACCTCAGCTGGGAACCGGCGATTCCGGGGCCTCACGTGCTACCCACTACGCCACCCGAGACCTTTCTCTCAACCTGTTTTTATTCCAACGGTGCTCCGTCAAGGCAAAAATTGCAAGGCCATTGTTGGTGTGGTGGATAGTTCGTGAACTACTGGGAAGGATATTCGGAGGTTCGAAACCCAACTGAGGTTCTGAGTTTTGCTGTTGTCTCAACACCCTTGCGGTTGTGTTTTACCAAATACCCTACCATTAAAAAAGAATAGGCAGTCAATAATAGTTAAAACAGTCTACTTTATGTTTAAATTATTCAGCTTACACGTGGTAGTTGAGAAACTTCTGTTCGATTATTCTACTAATTTACCTTGTTTTGTGAACACAATTAAAATTTGTAGTTGCTCCTAGAATTCCCTAACTGTAACTTTTAATAGTTTCACGCATTTCAAGTGCATCGATTGTGTCTTGTGCTCTGTCTGTTCGCTTTCTTCTTTTTCATTCTTTCTGGATTCCTTACTTTTTTCGCGAGATGAATTACTCTCTACCCACTGCTGACATTTTTTTCGTTCCCCGAAGCAGCTGAATGTTTAATTTTACAGGCGATGTCTTCCGATCCACACGAACAGTACGAGGGCTGGACCCACCTCGAACGACGCACGCCGTTTCAGGTGAGTTGCCCGAAAACCCTGCAGAATTTAGCTCTAAAGAGAATGTCGATTTCCTCCTCAGAGAGTAATTTACAATCTTTTTCTCTCTATAGAAAAAATCGTTCCGGACCTAAAAAGTGTCGAAGATGATTTCATGCCAATGGAAGGAAAATTAATATAGAAAAAGTTGGACGTTTGCTCACGTTCTACAATTTTTTTTTGGTAAATGTGCTTAATCATTTGACCATCGTTAATAGTATAATCTCTTCTAACAATTTCCACTCAGACGATACAAAGGCAAGAGGTTAAGATGACGGGTCTCTTAACACTCACGCGATGGCGTGACTTCTATAGGAGTCATGTGATAAAGGATAAAGGATAAATTTCTCGTTGTTGATCAATCCATAAGGGATGTACCATGCATCAACCTCGTTAAGCATTGTTGAAGGTGATTGAATGCTTATCTGGCCTTCACATCACAATGACTCGCCATGGTCTACCGATGTATCGAGCCACTTCTGCTGTCCTCCCAGAGAAGTCTGGTACCAATTTGCAGACCCCGGAGCAAAGCAAGGCTTGGTGAGCCACGGGCGCGGAAATCGATTCTATGTGTGTCGCAGGGGGCCTCCTACCACTGCGCCACACGCGAACTCATGCGATGCGGAAAATAACGCTAGGTTTCAACTTTGATTCAACATATCTCGGTTCATAGTAAATTTCACCATTTGCGGCAAGGATCACTAAAATCTACAAGTTTCTCCGTATTAGGAACAAATGCTCTGGTTTTATGACAATGAGCTCCAATTTTCTTAGTGCCATAACATATTTTTCCTTCACATTTTTGCGTTGCTGCCGGTATTCCGAACATGAAAGCAAACGAGCAAACAGAATTCCTTCTAGTACTACGCAGCGGTGTTCTCCAGTCCATGGTTATGTTTGCAGTTCTCACTGCTTCGTTGTAAATTTTAGAAATACACTTAATTTCCATCATCGATTTTTGAAGATTTTATTCCTAAGCATATTTAAACTTGAAAGGGCAGTGTATAAAAATTATGCATACAGCTAGTGCGATAGAGCATCATCTGTTCCATGAACCTAAAACTCCTGAAACGCTCTACTGAGCGATAAATTCTCATCAACCAGCTTCACCTTAGAGGGGGAAAGGGTTAAACCTTACCTTGAAGCTCGCCACATCTTGATAACCCAAGTATTTGATAGTTTTGAATGAATGCACACATCGGCTTTTGAGGTATTTTTTTTCAACATTTTTCTTCATTCGAACTAACTAAAATATTATAGTTTCCGACTAACGAAAGAATCTTTAGATAAAGTGCTGGTTCAAAAAGTTGATAACAACTAGATGACACTATAACCAAGCAATCTGGTTCGCGTTTTGTGGGTTCCGTTTTGGGTGTACGTAGGCCATCTAGCATTTTACCGTAACGACGGCTACGCCACAGTACTACAACTTAGACCTGACTCCTTGTAGCTTCATGGTCAGTGGTTTCAAGAAAGCTCTCCTGTGCAACTTCACAAAACAAAAAGCTCATTCGAAATGTGAAAGTGTTTCAAACAAGTGTAAGTCGGTTGCCATGGGGCGTTGTAACATTGCCATACTATGCTCACTCATACTATTTACATGGCGAACAATTCCAATTTCGACAAGCTTATTTCTGCTTGTATTTTGAAGCTTTTTCAATTTCATTCGTGATCTAAGTCTATTAAGACCACCAGAAGGGCTCAGAAATTCAATCGATTATTCTTAATGCCATCACTATTGTCTGTTACATAGCGTTTTCTAATTAGTTCAAGGCCAATGAATGTTTGAACAGCTTACTTTCTGGTCTTAGTTTCCAACAGGACCGCCGAAATACGAAAGTCGTTAGCACAACTAGCTCCAATGGAAATTTCCAACTCTTCTGCCAGGTCAACTCGAGTACGTATCGAGTCGCTGGCGGTGGACGAACTCTCACCTTGTGTGCTCGATTCATCCGTTTTCTCATTCATACCTGAATAGCAGAATGCTGAATGTGAATCATGTATCGATGTCCAGCCATGAAAGAAAGACAATAGGGTTAGGAGCGAGTGTTAAATATAAGCGGAATACCAGTCCACGCCAAGATGCTAAGTGGATGGGGAACTTCGTGGGATTTAGATCGGCATTTTTGGTATATTCAGAGTGGAATGATTGTTTTCCATCTTATACAAAATTTTAGTGCGTCTTAGGCTTTTTGCAAGTATCCGAGTCAGTAGTGAGACACTACTCATAAGTGATGACTTAGAGAAACTTAAGAATTAGTTTTCACTACTTCCGCCAGTTTATGGATCGAAAGTGTAAACGGATAAAGTTTTTCTCTCTAGTAAATCCATGACTGGGACGCTGTGCATTTGACTTTACCAAAATCCCAAAAGTGACTGAATGCATATGTGGTCAAAACAATACCTTGCAGGGATCTACCATATATTAGATCAGTGTTTTTTTATCACCCCATACTGGTCTAATAGCAATTTTCTGACCCGAAGGAAGGCCACTCGGTGAGCCCATGTCAGGGGATCAAACCAAGGGCCGTTGCGCTGCATGCGCGTGTCATCAATCGAGAGATAGGGATAAAACGCATCCTCTCCTTTTTGGCTTCTAGAAGAGTTTTCTTTTGAATCCATTGAAGCCAGTTGCTACCGCTTCGCATTTTATCGCCTGTAAAACGAAAAGAGCTTTTTAAATCTTTGCTTGGCAGAACTCATTTCTGACCTGAATGTGAATTCACTGTCTTCTAGATGAGCAAACACGAAGCTGTTACTGCAGCATTTATTTATTGTATTCGACGCAATTCTGACTATATGACTAATCCAGTGACTATTGCCGACTATTCACAATAGAAGACGTTTCGGCGGCTTCGCCTTCGTCAGATCCCGGAAGAGTCAAATTGACACGCAGTCTATTGGGCTAAACACTTTCATAACCTCAACAAATAAAACTTAATGCATACATTTTCATTCTAATAATAACCAGCTTCCTTTAAATACACACCGTTTTGTTCTTTGTAAGTCTCCCAGTTATTTCGTATAGACCAGCAATACAGCGTGTTATATCGGCGGGCAATGTGCCTAGGCCAAGTCACAGGATCAGCCAGACGTATGGCGCCAGGTCATGACAAGACATTCCTCCTTGCGGTTCATTTTTGAATCTTTGGAATTGATCCAAAACGCTTGAAGAATTTTATACGCTGATGTTTTCGATTCCTGCGTGAGGGTAGTGACTCCCACTTCAAAATCTCCGTTGTGTTCCTGCATCCTATGCGCGCCTAGTGGAGTGTTTGGTTTTAATTTAGATTTACCATCTAGGTGTTCCCTTATGCGGACGCAGTGCGGTCTACCCGTTTCCTCAACGTATTCGTCCCTGCACGCTTTACAAGAGGTCAGTTAGACTGTACCCGAACTCATGCAATCGCCGTCTCTACCGTCAGGGCAAATTTTGCAGTTTTCCGTTGAACACAGACAGTCATATAGGCGGTTATGAACTAGCTGGCGTCTTAGAGTGTCCAGTGGTATTTCTATCACTCTTACGGAATTCTCTAGACCGGCCCTTATTAAGCAACGTTTTATGGCTGCACTTATTTCGTTTGGAATAAAGGGCAAGAGGAACGGAGCCTTGTTTTCGCTAGAATTATCGCCCTGTGGCGTGAGATTTCATCGATGCCTATGCCGAGAAGCTACACTTTCGTAACCATTTGAAATAGCTATTTGGCGCGCCAGTTTCGAGGATTCTTCCCTCCGATCTCTACCTGTGCACACACTGGCAGCTGTTCGAAACATTTCATTTCTTATAAGCGCCCTTTTAGTGTGTGAGGGGCGAGATGAGAGGTAATGAACCACTACATTCTTACTACTTGGTTTTCGATACCATTTTGCAATGTAGCCGTTTTCGGATAGGTTAATTTGAACGTTTGGAAATGGAGGCCAGTTTTCTTTCGGTTTCTCACGGGTGAATTTTATGTACTCTGACTATTCGTTCAATAACTGAAAGCACTTGTCCATCTCCTTTTATGTGAAGCGGATGACAAAACAATCATCTATATACCTACAGTAGAGTAATGACCTGAGATCGATTACTAGTGCTTCCACTTTAGACGTAAAGGCAACGGCAAGGGTTGGTGCCATTCGCTGTCCTATTGCCAGCCCCCTAATTTGCGCGTAATATTTCCCGGACCATCTGAAGATCGAGCAGTTTAAACAAACCCTTAAGAGAACCATAAGCTGCTGAATCGAAAAGCCATGCATGTTAATTGCTCCTTCGTGTTGCTCAAGAAGATCGCGGATGACTTACATTGCTCAGTCGTTCGACACGTTAGTTAGTGTAAGTGGCGGTAACGTCGAGCGACTCCATAACGTACGCGCTTTTGGGACGTGCTTTACGTAGACGATCTGGGAACATTTAGGTGTTCGTGATATGGGCTGGTATGTGCTTAAGCAACTGGTTGAGGATTAGATTTACAAGCCAAGCAATTCTATCCGTAGGCCTGTCTACACAACTGATAATGAGTCTAACTTTAAAGGTGGAGTGGTCGGTAAACACCAGATCATCAGCGGGTATTAACTTATGCGTTTTGACTACGCGCCTCTCTTCGAGGCAAACAGGGCACCATGTACGTGCAATTGAAGAAGTGCAAGTCGAAAGAATCTTATTGTGTTCAGTATTTGGAGGATTCTCTTTGGAAAAGAATGGAGCGTGGGTCGATTTTGATTTGGGATTCTATTAGGTCGAATGCTAAAGTAACTTTAAGCATAAAGTTTCAAAATTTAGACTAGATTCTCTAGACTAGATCATTCGCAAAAAAAGCCAGTTTCAATTAAACAGAGCAAAGTCGTTTACGAAAGCGCTAGCACTAAAAATGTGGTCGATAACGTGCCTGAAATGTCAAGGGTCACCGTGTTAGGAGGCATAACTCTCCCTGATGACGCGCGCTCGCTATTAGAATTTGGTCCAAGTTTCTCACCAGCGCAACCCATTTCTAGAGAAAGCTTGCGTAGGATCGCGTGCAGCCTGCACGAGCCCCAAGATCGACTCCGAAGTAACGCTAGAATTGAGACACGAAATAAAAGGGAACAACGAGAAGGAGGGCACTACCACCACCTCCATTTCCTCGGTTTCCTGGAAGCGGTTCAACAGAGCTGCGCAACGATTTCAGGAAGATTGAACTTGAATAGAAATCAACAACCTTCATAATGAAGACAACGTACTCAAGTGGCAGCCAAACCTACACACGTGTCAGAAAATGTTCACAGAAAACGCTCGGGTGCCAGACAGAAAATCGAATGAAGGAGCTGCTGGGGTCCGCACAATACGTGTTGACACACACTTTTATCTTCGTATCTTTGTTTTATTTTACACCACCCAAAACCTCATTATTTTTACTCTTGTTTTATTTTACACTATTCGACATCACGTGTTGTGTGGATCCCAGCACCTTTTTCACTCGATATATACTCCACATCCATCATCTTTGAAGGTTCTCGAATTTTTCGCGTTTGGACTTTGCTGCTGCCTGAAGATTTTTGGTTCTCTTTATGAATGTTGTTGAATTCTAGTCGAATCGATTCTCGCTAATATTTCCTGATAGTCGTGCTAGGGTGTTCATAGCAAGCAGGCGCCAACTTTTGTGGATTGAAGAGAAAGCCGATTAAAGGCTGATTCTGTATCAATTTGCCAACCCCCGTGGGGTAGCTCTGGGTGGGTCCACGCGGGGTGGAACCAGTATATTGCTCGTAGTAAATGTCACCATCATCACTGCTGCGCTATCCGTCTCTCATACAAATAGAAAGAAGTGAAAAATGAGTAGATTTTATCGGCATTGCGTCTAGTTCCTTCTAAATTTCTTCTCGTTTTAGCGCTGTCTCAAGCGCAAAGCAAAACATTGTCGCTTGCGACAAACCGATCAACTGATCTCGGACGACGACGGTTCAATCTCGCCTTACGTCGTCCAGATCCTCAACATTTCTCCATGCCAACGGTTACGAAGAGTGAAAAAAAGCCAGTCGGTTGGCTGATCCTCCAAAACGCTGTTGATCCACAAATTTCTTAGGTGGTCTAGAGATTAATGTTTAATTTCAGCCTGCCCTTCGGCGCAGGAATCATTGGAATTTAAAGGTTTTTGTCAGGAAGGAACAAATCTCATTTAAATCAGTTGCATAAAATTCCCGAGTTCCGATAATGATGAATTCGTTGAAGGTTACGGCCTACTTTATGAAGGATTCTCACACAGCAGACAGAGTCATCGAGATGCTCGAAGTATTAATCGACTAGGCGAACGGCCCAGCGAATATGCTGGAGAAAGCACAGTTTCGTTGTCCAGTTCGCCCAACCTCCCAAACGTCAATATTGTGACGGGAATACCTTTCTTTTTTCCAATGTTGGGTGCACCCGTTAAAGCTTCTGGTGAGTTTCGTCGTTTTGCTCGATGTACTTCTCCGCCGTGATCGCCTCACCGGTATTTGGGATGCTGTGATGGATGAAACACGCTGTGGATCGTCAAGTGATCAGCATGACTTTCTTTTGGCGTAATTTTGGTTTGCGAAAGTCCTATGGAGCTTCATTGCGATCCAACCACTGGACCGATCGTGGTTGGTTGTCCTAGAGGATCCACCCAACGATATCTTAAAACAATAAAACTTGTTCGATTGTCGTTCAATTCGTATGGCATTCATTTTCCCAGTTTCTTCGACTTTTAGATGTTCTGTGAAAGCTCCGAAACAGTTGAGATGTTTATGTTTATAGTGAGTCTTTCAACAAGATTTCGAACAGTGGTGCGTGTACTTCCTTGCGGGAAACCTTCAGAGTCACCAAT